AGACTTGATCCACTTATGCATTATTAGCAAATTCAGGTAATTCAACCAAAAATATTTACGACGAATAAGATTTTACGCACAGAATTAAAAGACTATAAAAAGCATATGAAATATTTTCTGTTGACACTTGCACTGGATCACATGCCAGAGAAGAGAGTCCAGCTGCCCACTAAATAATAACCCGGATCGCATGCAACTTTAGTCCGGGATATTGTCAGCATGGATTTGAGCAGTAAAACAAAACGACCGGATCTGCACGGATCTTACCGGTGTGAGTCCTTTTGTGAATTTTTAGATTTTCCGATCGGGCAAATACTTTGCCACAGCCGGGGAACGGACAGGGGAATGGCTTTTCTCCCGTGTGTACTCTGATGTGATTCACAAGTTTGTATTTGGCTTTGAACGGCTTCCCTTCTCTGGGGCAGTCCTCCCAGAAGCAGATGTGGTTCGTCTGCTCGGGTCCCCCCACATGCTCCACGGTCAGATGGGTCACCAGCTCGTGCATCGTGCTAAAAGTTTTGTTGCACGACTTTTTGGGGTTCGTCAGCTGCTCCGGCTCGATCCACTTGCAGATGAGCTCTTGCTTGATCGGCTGCCTCATGTACCGAAAGAAGGCCCCTGCTCCGTGGTGCGCGGCCATATTCATGTTCATGGGGCCGTAGCCGTGCAGCTGGGTGGAGGCGTAGTGGTCGGACCGCGGGCTCGTAACGTGGCCGTACTGGTCGGCGCGTCCGTACATGTCCCCCGAGAAGCCCAGCCGCATCTGGCTGTTGACCACGTTGGAGGAGGCATGGCTCGCCGCCTGCTCGTGGAGCCCCGGGAAGAGCAGGTGCCCCGCCGCATCTGAGTGTCCATGTGGCCCTGCGAAACTTCCAGAGGCGAACAAACTGTGCTGCGCCCCGGTGGCGTCCCCGAAACCCCGATTTCTGAAGAGAAAGTCCCTGGTGGAGTTGAACGCCGCCGTGGAGTAAGAGCCAACGTGGGTCGGGTGGTGATGGTGTCCCAGGGCTGCTGCTGCGTAGCCGGGCGCCTGGGAGGAAAACGCCGTCTGTCCGGAGCCAATATCGTGGGAGCTGTGGTTTATTTTGAAGGCGCCCATCCCATCCGCGAACGGATTTATCCCCAACGCCACTTCTCTCTCTGTGACTTCGCCTGTTGAGTGATGCCGTGAGGAGCCGAAAGTAGTGACTCCTATGGTGGGATACTGCGGTCCTGCGTCCAAGAGCATCTTCAGTCTAGACTCGCCGAGACGACTGAGAGCAGAAGTAAAAAAATCACGCGCAGATATTCTTCCTCCCCCTCTCTCTATCTCTTGGACCTCACTCGACTGAGCAAACTCTCAAATCCACCGCTTTTCTGTTTACTTTCTAGGACGCGAGGAATTCCCCTATAGCGCTCATCCGATGCACACGCAAAATCATGTATGCATGCAATATTGTCTTTTGCGGTTTATCTTCCTGTGGCGCAACTTTCACCTCCTCAGTCAGGCGGTGAGCTCTAGACTGATAGTCGCAATCATTCCTGCAGATAAATGAATTGAAAAGACAACACAGTCCAGCCCTGATGAATGGGAGAGGAGGGGGGTAGTCATGTGGTCGCGGAGATGCGCTCCCATTGGCGGAGCGCATTTCCCCCCAATAACATGCACTCACCAAATAACAATCCACGGTGCAGGGCCCACGCTTCTATTGGCCTCTGCGCATCATCAATCCCAGATATTGTGAGATTGCTGACTGGGAATTTGGTTAAAAGGCTGAATAACCGCAAAAACAAAAGTCGAGGAACACAGCACAACAGTTGGCCTCGTAGAAAGTCACAGCACGTTTTGCAGCCATGTACCGCAGCGAGTTTATAAAACCACATGTGTCAGATTGTCCCTGATAAGCACAACCTATCTATCTATCTATCTATCTATCTATCTATCTTTCTATCTTTCTATCTATCCAACTATGTGTCTACCTAATATCTCATAATCTCATATATCTATGTATCTATCCATCATGTGTCAGTTACAAGTATACAGGTAGATTTTTACGTCTTTTCAAGCCCATGTAAAACCCTGATGTTTGATATAAACTCAGTCCACTCTCATCCCTCTCTCTCTAAACGCCCGCTGTTACCAACTGTCCCTCTTTCACTTCCATAGGAATCCACATGATTTTCTGTCTCTTGACTCTTCTGCGCATTTTGCAGTCCAGCCTCCCTCGAACACAACCCTGTCCCTGCATCCACTGGAGCTCACCACGGTGGAACATCTGCGCTTTAGATTTTCCACATCATCTTGCTCACCAGCACCCCGTCACAAAGGCTACACACATATAGGGCAGTATTTGAGCTGGATCCTCCACTATTCTAATGTATCCATCACGGTTTGGCCGTGCGCTTGTGCAACTTATTCATTTTTGCAGGCCAGTGATGTACAGCCTGTGTGTAGAACGTTGTGGGTTGTCGAAGTTATCAAGTGGGATTTGCGGCGCTCTCTGCAGGAACCTCCGGCTGCTAGAGTTCAAAGCCACATGCACAGACGTGCCATGCGAACCATTAAAATATCTTCTTGGCTACGAGGCTAGTTTCTGCAAGGCATTCCCCAAGTCAGTCTGGGGAGTCCAGGGAGAGGGAGGAAGTTTTGTTGTTCTCAACTTAACAAGTAGAACCACAAGTTGATCCGAAGTTTTAGGTCGCCCACCACTCTGCTTTACAAAATCTGGAGGGATCTTTCAACAGGTGGAAAACGGTAAGCATATCATTCCAAGAAGGGAGAGTCAGGACTGGGAGGGGGGGGGATCATAAAGTCAGACTTGCAACAATCAAGGTGAAATGTGAAACTGCGCCAAGAATTTTCTTTTGGAACTAAACGACACATAACTTTACAAACGCATTTTAAGTTTCTCATGTGCCTCATATGCAATTCTGATGCGTAAAAGATGCGTTCTTATTAAAGGGCCAATAACAGTTTAGTACCATGACTCTAATGTGTTGGAGTCGTACTGTAAAATTTAAAATGGCTACCAGGAGCTATTTGGGATTTACAGTGAAGGCAACCAAGCCAAAGCAGCAAAAGCGTTTTATGAGACCTTCCTGCAACATTCAGTTTTTTCTGTGTTTAGTATCTTTCAGTCCAAACTGCTTACATGTCTCCAAGAGTGAGTGCGCACAACTTGGACCAGAAATAGCTCTTCAAAGTTTTGCATTACGCTGGTGCTGTGGTGCCTCTGAAGGCTACAGCTGTGAGCCTCACGAAGCCCAAGCGTAAAGGCTATTTAGTCATGTCTCAAAATATTGACTCAATTTCTAACGTGCTCGATATGATGCTGTCAGAAGAGATTTTGACGAATTAATTTAGAGAAAGAACCAAGAGGAATGCACATCTGACTATTCTCTAATATACAATTTTTTTAGTAAGTGTCAGCATTTTCAGATAAATGTTTTTGCTGTATCTGAAAATGGCACGTTTAATAAAAAAGACACACGTGTTTATATTTTGTAGATTTTCTATCAATGAATTTTAAGAAGTGTGAGGGGGTCAAACACTGACGAGCGACTGTCACAATAAATTTAGACTCTTGTCTTACAGCCTTCAGTCATTACTTGTAGTCACTACAGAAGTCACACAACACCAATTAAACACGTAATAAAGTCATCAGCTCTCGAAAGGAACTTCTCTGTGGTAACTATACAGGCACTCAATATTTTTTGTGTGCAACTACAAGAATTAAACGCTCAAATCACACATTTAGAAGAAAAATAGGACGCTCTCTGGGTCACAGTTTGGTTTTAGTACTTGTGACACAACTCAAAAAATTCAAATAATAAAGTAATCACTAATAATCATCCGATTATTACCAGGATTATACAAAATATTTAAAACTACTTAAATGTAAAGTTCAGCCACGTGTTTGTGTCAGAGACAGTGTCCACGGTGCTGCAGATTACATTTTCCATTTACTGTATCAGCTAGTCAACATTTTAATGACAACACTTTATATATTTTTTTCAAAAGTTAGTTTGTTAATTGTTTAAAAAGGCAAAGTCAACAGAAAAAATAACAATCAGTGAGTAGTGGGTGATTTATAAAATTGTACGGCGTGTTGTTAGAATATTCATATCCACCTCCTAAGCATTCAAATAAAAGCACAGCACAATCGCTCAGGTTACGTTTTATACTTTTTAGGATAAGATTGTAGTAACCGATACTTACAGTACACACGCTTTTATTTTGGACTTTAGTCTGCAACGGCACCACCTCCTATGACCCTCATGTGCTGCCGTCCTGGGTCTAAAGCAAAATTACCCCGGATCATAACAACAGGTCCCGTCCATTACATTTTTTTTCCTCGCGACAATGGCAGCAGCTCGGACCGACTCCCTCTTCCTTCACACACACGGATCCTATCGAGCAGAACACGGAGTCGATACTGTAGCACGCGCTGAAGGGCAAACGGCTGGATATGTAAATGTGGGTATTTATCAAAGCGCATATTAATGCGATATACTCCGGACTATTGTTGAGTCCCACGTGGACTTATCCTTTGCCTAAGTTGACAAGCTTTTCTCCTCCGATCTCTAGCGTGCGTGCGTAATCTGTGCGTAAAGTTGATCTGCATACGGTGCGAGGCAGAATTAAGATATCACCGCTATATTTATGATCCTTACAACTCTTATAGGGACAATATGCATACTCCTGCGAGACAGTCTGTTTTGTGATCGTATAGTCAAAGTGGGGAAATTGCTGTTTCATAGCATGCACTCTTTGTTCGCTGCAACAAAGGGAAGAGGACTGTATTTCTCGATCAACTTTTTACGAGTTTTATCGTACAATAACCTTTGCATAACAACTATTTTTCTTAAGCGTTGCCCGAGGCACTGCGCAGGCGCGCTAGCTGCTTGCTGTCACTAAGACATTTTTCTTCACTTTGGAAACTGTCACTGGTGACGTCAATCACCGAGCTCTGACCAATTAGAGCGCAGGGTGATTGTTTAGCTCCACGGGCTGCAGCGCCTACCATGAATCTCTATTCAGTATCAAAGCGTCCTGCTGCTGCCTCTCAACCGAATGGGATTTCATGTAGTCTGCAGATAGAATTAACTTCATAAAGTTTTTTTTTTTCTTTATTTTTCATTGCGATTAAAATATATTTGTCATCATCATTATTATTTTGCCTGCTGTCAAGTTATTCTAAAATTAGGAAGTAATGAGCGTGGATGCTTTGGGAAGCCCCGTGATGGACCCTACGTTTTCCAAACGGAACACGGCGCTGAGATTAGTTGACTTGGCAGGGGCTCACCACCATCACCATCATCACCACCATACCCCTCAGAGCGTGACAGGCTTCCCGGGGTTCAGCAGCCATCCACACTCAATGGCTCACTCGCACCCTGGGGAGATTACTGCGGAACCCCGCCTGGGGCCGAGTCCATTCGGGCCAGAACACATGGGGCACTCCGCGGCCCTCAAAATCAGCCCAGCCCATCATTATCCCCACCACCATCACCACCACCACAATCATCATATGGCAGGCCACAGTGAAGTGGTCTCCAGTCAAACGGGAGCTTTTGGCCCGGTTCAGGCGACATCGGTCCCTTATTCTATGTCTCACACGGCCCAGGCTTTATCCGCAGGTAGGGATTTCCTCATCCGGAGAGATCTGACGGCTCAAGCCATGCCAGTGCTGACCGACCAGACTGCCGGTTCAGCCTCTCACCACGGAATGTTTGTCTCAACAACAGGTAGCTATCCCGGACACTATGGTCATCACCCTGACGCTGGGAACCATACCCTCTTCTCCGGACTCCACCACGACCAGCCTTCTAGCGGATCACCGGGTGGCCAAGCGTTGAATGGACAAATAAGGTTAGGACTACCTGGAGAAATGTACGTTAGGTCTGATCACTTGAGTCAAGTGGCAAGCTCCAGGGCTGATCCGTTCTCCGCCTCGTCGTTGCATGGCTACGGTGGTCTGAATCTGAACATGAATCTGAGCGCTCACCACCACCACCACCACGGAGCCGGTGCCTTTTTCCGCTACATGAGGCAGCCGATAAAGCAAGAGCTGATCTGCAAGTGGCTGGAGCCGGAGCACGCGCCGAAGAAACTTTGCTCGAAAACTTACAGCACCATGCACGAACTCGTAACGCATGTGACGGTGGAGCACGTCGGAGGACCGGAGCAGGCGAACCATATATGTTTTTGGGAAGAGTGTCCGAGGGAAGGCAAACCATTTAAAGCCAAGTACAAACTTGTAAATCACATTCGAGTGCACACCGGGGAGAAACCGTTTCCATGCCCGTTCCCTGGCTGTGGGAAAGTGTTCGCGAGATCCGAGAATCTAAAGATCCACAAAAGGACGCACACAGGTCAGTTGGCATAAATTTACAGAAGGAAACGTTGTGAATGAAAAAAATATTTAAATCGCATGTTGAAATCAAAGAATTCAGCCAGACTGTGCACACTTTCCAGATGAGTGAGAAGTAGTTTGCATATTTTTTCAGATTCTTTTTTAAATCATATACTTTACTGTAGTTTCTTTGCTTTTACGCATTAGAAATGTCCTCCAATGAGCAATTAATCAATCCGTGCCTGCTGGTAGATGAGGGCGCAACAGCTATAACGCGGCCACCTGTTTGTTGTGAGCTGCATCAGGTCTCGCAAGTTTCTCTGAGGTTGAGCTTTTGGGGGGATCATGGTACAGCTCACTCAGGCGTTTTGACGGTTCGACCGCTTGTCCACACCACAGCACAAAGACTGAGGCCCACGTCAGCCTCTTGTCCAAGTAGTTCAGTGCATGCCAGACGTGACTGGCAGCAAAGTTGAAGTGGTGCATCTTCACATCCATTAACTGTTAATGATGATGTGGTGGTGATGTTTTTATTTTCCACTTATTCCAGACACTTGTTGCTCTTTACAGTCTGTACTTCTGTGAATACTGATATTAATAATAATGACAGTATTTGTTTGGGTTTATTGCTCCAAAGCTGCAAGGATTGGGAATGTTCTATTCTCCAAAAGAGTGTAATCAAACATCTGGAGTCTTATATTGACTTCATTTGCCAAAAGCATTATTATGGCAGCACTTTTATTTTTTTAGCCCCAGCAACAAGTTGACAAGTGCAGACGGCTCTGATAATTCACCAGCAGGTTGGCTGAGCTGCCTGCTTCTGTCGTGACTGACGTGTGGACAATGCAGCTGGAATCATGCAGCTGATTTAGCATTAAAAAACATATAATGGCGCAATATGGCCGCTTGTCTCTGTGACCCTGCAGTGACGCGCTGTGGACATAGGGGAGGGAAAGGCCTCGAAATGTCGAGTCAGACTTGTAAATTAATACAATGATGCGTCCCCCTGTTTTTTTCTTCCTATGTGTCTTCATGACACTCCCCCCTCCACTCCATTTCTGTACCCTATGTATTATTCATATAATTTGCTCACATTACCTAAGAACAAATCTGTTAAATTATTTCTGTGTGTTGACTCCCAAGGGGCCTGGTCCTTTGGTATCATGTTTAAAACCTACCCGAAAGTGTGGTTATGACTGGGGCTGCCCCTGGGGTCTGCTCCTCGACGGTTTCTTGTACTACACTAATATCCTTGATTGGCTCTCTCAGCCCAACAGCTGAAGGTCAAATTGATATTCAACCAGCAAGTGTAATTAGACAGAGGCAATTACATATTCTCAAAAGCTTTAATCGCAGGAGAGAAAAAAAATCAGCAGTGGATGATTTCCCGTGTAATTTATTCAGATTGTCTTTTTTTTTCTTTTTGCCCTGTCATAATCAGGTAGAAATACTTGTTATTAAGACACAGAATTAGAGCCAGTCCACATGCATAAGTCCAACAGCAGACAGGCTGCGTTAGCACACAGTGGGGTGAAGCCTGGCTGTGGCGATACTTTCATTTATCATTATTTTCAGTTGGGTTCAGGCCTCCTCTGCCTGCAGTGCTCATGGCTCGTCTGTTTTGACGTATGTCTTGATGCGTGCAGACGCCAGGTACAGACCCAGGGCGGTGGGGGTTCAGCCATGTTTACACCAGACTGAGGCTCGTGTCAGTTCTGTCCGAGCAGGCAGACTTACAAAAAAAAAAAAAAGTGCAAGTGCACGAGTGTGTGTTTACTGTAAATACTCACAACATCAAAGTTTTCAAGATAAAATCTGGGGAATCAACAAAAAAAAGTCATCGGAGTGGCTGTGATTGCGCATGCGTAAAATATATTTTTGCAGTATTTTTACAATTTACTTTGTATTTTTTTAGTGACAGGTACTTGGATACTTGTTGCTCAGTTTATTCTAAGCACATAAATTCAGGTCACACACTTTGTTGGTGTGTTAAAACATTTTAGATTTATGTAAAATACTGCGGCTGCTAGAAATGTTGTGGACAATACAATGAATACCTCAAATCTTGCATTATGAGCACGAATGGCAACGTTTTTAATTTTTTTAATTCGTTGATTTGCATCTCATTGTGTCACCATCACTGTTAACAGGTGAAAAGCCCTTCAAATGTGAGTTTGACGGCTGCGACAGACGCTTCGCCAACAGCAGCGACCGGAAAAAGCACTCCCACGTCCACACCAGCGATAAGCCCTACAACTGCAAAGTGAGAGGCTGCGATAAGTCCTACACGCACCCCAGCTCCCTGAGGAAACACATGAAGGTGCACTGCAAGTCCCCCCCTCCCAGCTCGGGCTACGAGTCGTCCACCCCGTCCCTGGTCTCCCCCTCCTCAGACCTGGGCCGAGAGCCAGGAGGCTCCTCGGTGCTGTCGGAGCCGGTGGGGGCCTCCCAGCCGGCGAATTTAAGCGAATGGTACGTGTGCCACAGCTCAGGTGCCAGCGGCGCCCAGACACCACCCAGCGGGCCCTCCACACCCGACCCCACAGAAGAGCCACCTTACAGAAACCCAGAACCGAGGGACGCGTTTTAACGCACCTCGGACTCCTAAACCACCGTTGCAGAGGTGACAAGAACACATTTTCACAAGCTTAACTATTGTAAATGGTTTGGCTTTGGTGCCTGTACGCCTGTTGAAGGCCCACTGGTCCCCCCTCCTCCCTTTGATTCCTGGATGAACCACCAAACAGACACCCAGAGCCAAGAGACGCATTTGAACCACATTGGAAGGAAAATGTGTCAGCGTTAAAGACGTGCTAATTTCCAGGCACAATAAAAGAATATATTTTCAAACCTCAGCTATTACGCCCTGACGGCCCACTGGTCCACTTGTGGAGGGGGGGTCGTGTAAATCCGTTAGACTATGTGGTACTTTATCGTAGGCTAGGCATGTTGGTGTAAAATTATTTTGTAAATTCGAGTTTCTGACTTCAATATGCTTTTATTTATTTTTCAATCTAATAACGAGGGATTTTTTTTTTGTATTATCGAACCAAAGTGCATGTTTCAATTCGGGAAAAAAAACCTGTACATTTGTACATTTTTGTAAGTTTCGATGTGTTGATGTTGATAGTTTTTTGTAAGGGTGTGTTTCAGAGCAGTGTCTTTCTGCAGTTATTTGTACAAACGTTTTATGTTTACAGCACCCCCTCCCCATCTGTGCATAGGGTCAACTGTTTCATACGCCTGCAGTATTTGATATACAACCGTGAAATTCTAAATGTTTTATCAAAGTGGGCATTTTGTGATTTTTTGTATAATTGTCGTCAACTTTTTTTGTTTTTGTTCCTCTTTTGAATATCTCAAATCGAGTGGCACTCAAAATGCGCGCCGAATTGCCTTGTAATTTGTGAGTATTTTGAATAAATCTTGTATGACAAAAACGTGAGAACGCTGCTGAGCCATTTGGGGTTCATAAAATTTAAGTATCGTAAAAAATTGGGAAGATGTGCAATATTTCTCTTATGTCACTTTAAACGGCATGTCTTTAAAAATATTATTTCCATAAAAAGAAAAAAAAGAAACTATTGCTTCTTTTTACGCGCAGGAAAGCTCCAGTAAAAAAATATGTCCAAGTCAGCTTTCCAGGTGCAGATATAACCGCTGAAATCCAAAGAAATATAATCGGTAACAGGTCATTTTATATAACATTTAAACTTTTTTTATTTTCGAAAATGTTTCGTGGTTTAAAAAAAATGAGGGGTGTGTGTTTAAATCGTGCTCCGTTTGTGTTAAGTCTTACTTTCTCTGCTGAGCTGTGGTTTGATGCAGACGTGGGCAGAGGTTGATGAAAGGCAACAATATTCTGATCCAGACTTCAAAGAGCGTTGCGCACAAAGAGCCATTTTTTTTCACGACGGTGAATCCTCATGGTGAATTAAGATTTCTATAGCAATAGCCAAGTCAAACTCAAATGATATGGGGCCAAGTCCGCGGACTGAAAAGCGCGCTCTAAAGAATGTAATATTTGCTTCCCATGGGGTCGGAAACGGTAATCTATGTCCTTTATACTGGAGACGAGGGCAGTATAAAGAAGAAAAATATATTCTTTTGCTCCGGGCCTACTTTACGACAATCAAAGGGGAAGCCCCTGAAACGCAGTTGTCCCACACCATAATAGACTCGCATTGCAACAGGGCCGAGCTGCTCAATGGATAAAATTAACCATAATCATATTTTAGCCTCAATACATGAAACATGTCCTATGAAACCAAGCTGTATATAATGATTAGTGCACATTCCAGCATTAGACGCGTGCATTAATTATTTCAGCTTTAAACATGCAGATATTTTTTTCAGCAGTTTAAAATTTTATTCAATGTGCAACTTTTAATCCAAACCCAAATCATTTTAAAGAAAAGCTTATGAGCTTTGTTGTACTTGGAAAACTTTCGGCTGAGCGGTGATTTGACTCCACACCGGCGCAGACTGAGGCAGAAAGTGGGTGGAAACAACAAGGCTACAACTCTTTCCGTGCGTTTATAGAGTTTGGTTAAGTGCATGACAGTTTGCTCTGTAGAAGAGGCCCAGCTGAAAGCAAAGAATAAACACTAAAGCAGCCAAATAGAAGAAGATGATGATGCCTCTTTTGGCACCAGCTCTTGTGCGTAAAAGGGGGGGAAGGAAGAAAGAAAGGAAGAAGGAAAACAACAAGATAGTTGGATCTCAATTGAAAGTGGGAGTCTTTGAAGTGGAAGTTAATATCAGAGGGATTCTTCTGGGTCGTCTGAACAACGTTGATGACACGGAAAGCCTTTTGTCACCGATTTGTTGGGCTCCTCTCTATTGGGCCGTCTAAAGCTTTTAGTTCCAGCCGTCAAAATGGACAAGAACTAACTGAGTCGCGTAAAAACATTTTCCATTCAGCGCTGAGAGTGAAGGATAAGCAACACTTAAAGGGTTGTTTCGCTAGAAGAAGAAGAAAGAAAAGAGAGAGGGGGAGAGCGTTAAAACAGAAAGGTCCGCAGTGTGCGTCAATTAGGAATGGCGCAGACTGCATTTTTTAAGCCAAAGTATTTCTGAATTTGATCTCTACCACAGGCAGGAAGTAAAAGAAAAGTGGTCGTGAATTCATTTGGAGGAAGAAAAAAAATGCTCCAGAGCTGCAGAAGCTTGGTGACCTTTACGCACAGTAATTTATGACTTTGACCAAATATAAACACGCAGTTTTCAGTCAGAAACCGAGCTGGCACGAGCAGGCTTAGAGGGGTTTGTTGGATCCAACGACTTTAGTACATAAAGTGCTGAGGGAACAGGCGAGCTTTTACCGCAGCAGATAAAATGTGACGACTGTTTGCTTGATTGTAAAAGTTCAATCCCCGGCGCGCAGACACTGGATACCGCAGGCTGCAGTTATAGGAGCGTAAGAGGGGATCTTTTTAACAACCGATCCCGGTGGGTTCACTCGTCGGGGCCTCCCCCTGCCGTCAGCTGAGTGACAACGTGACAGCGTCTGATCTGATATCAGCCGTGGGGTCAAGAATCAAGAAAAGGTGTGTGTGGGTGCGTGTGCGTAAAGAGAGAGGAGGAGGAGGGCAGAAAGGGAGAGCGCCTCCACTTGAGCAGCACTGCTCGGATGCCATGTCCACTCCAAAAGCCCCAAAAAGGAAAGTGATGGCGGTTTTGCGCAGGAAATACATATTCACTTTAATCACAGAATAGATGGTTTAAAGAAAAAAAAACCTAAAACTAAAGAAAGCGAGAAGAAAGGGGGAGGGTTGAGCTGCCAAAGTGCAACAAAAAGAAAATGAATCCATTTCAGCTCTTTGCTCGGCCTCTCACCGCCGCCACCGCTGCATCCTGAGGCTCATTTGAGTGTGAAATATCATTTCTTTGTAAAAAAAAATAATGGAGGCGGTAATCCTACTTCCGGAAATTGTCCGGCATTATTGAACAAAGCCCTTTTAATAGGGGGATTAGCAGTCTAGGAGTAAAAGCCTCACTCACCCTCCTTCACTACCTCCCACCTCCCCCTTCTTTTCCTCCACGCTCACCCCACGCTCCGACACCACCATCAGCACCTCCACCACCAACCAGGTCATAATTATCAGGAATGAAGTGGCCGAAATTGGCATTGAGGATAAAGAGGAGAGGGGCTGGGGGGACAGGTGCAATATACAGGCAGGAGCAGACCTCTGGAAACACTGAACACAAGCATGAATGGATCATTTTGTATCCGTTATTTTACAGTCTACAGATTAACACAGGAATTTCACCACTTTACCATTTTATTATCTATATTTTCTTACAGCATTTTTACTCTTCAAGGAGCATTCCACTTTGTTTATTAGACTTCCATGGCGTGCGCAAAGAGGGAGGTCAGAAGGCAAATTACGCACACCCACAACTTAACTGCAGCCATAGAGGTTGTCATGAATATTGAATATTTTTAATCTCACATAATATCCTCTGGTCTCTCAAGCTAAATTAACTATATTCAACTTTTTTTTTAAAACAAAGTGAGCGCACAGAGGAGACACCCCTGCTGTAGCTTTTGTGTGTGACATGTGAACCCCACTATCCTAGAACCTGGAAATAAAATGAGCGACCCTCCTCCTCTTTCTTCAGGATTACCGTCATGCACAGATTTCAGGAAACTAAGTTATTTTACTTCCATGGATGAGTGCTCGCCCTCCAATGCCAATCAGCCCCCTAGTAACCCATGTAGGCCCGAACACGGTTTTCTAACAACCTCCGCATTATATGGCGGAATGTGCCACATAGTTCACACCTGCGCTCTGAATAGCAGCCCTCCTTCAGTGTATGATACGCCTGTTGGCCTTGGTCTCAATGCAGCTGCATGAATGAATCAGCGACCCCGCTCATTTGGCTCCTCTTTTGATCCGAGGTCTCCTTCTCTCGCTTGAAGTCGCAGCCTCGCCTGCAGACGGTCTAGTTAACGAGAGCTCTGATGACTTCTTTTATTACAGTGCGAGTGGAGTGATTATATACATGGAGCCTATATATCGCAGATGAACTTGTTGCTGCAACGTGAGCAAACACATGGATCTAAATATTTTTGGAGTCTATTCAGGAGAGGGAGGAACATATGGGGAACTAGAAACGTGCAGAAAAAATATAAACACCAACCTGATGGCGCACGGATTATTTTCTGCTCATGTCTGCAGATATCTCTATTTCTGACATTTATTAAGCAGGAAAAAAAATTATTGCCAGATTTAACATCCAAGTTTAGGGGCTGAGCACTATTTGTAATGTCGTGTATTGGCTCCACGTGCGCCCTAAACTCCACATCCATGAAAGTGGGCCATGCATCATGCAGAATAAATGATTCTGAATCCTGGGACTTGCCCTTTGACGATGGCGTCGATCTGACGTTCAGCAGAGGATCATAACTTGAATTGATCATCCTCTGCTGACCTCTCCGTGATCTCACAGCAGCAGTCATGGGGAACAGGTGTGTTAGGGTCCGTGGAAATCTGCACAAAAAAGCACCAAACTGTACTTTGAAAAAAGAAAAATCCGAAATGTTAAAGCTCCAGAGGCCTCAGCTCTCAAGTTTTTAAGACAATTTTACAGTGGGGAGTGAAAAAGTGGAGATAGTAAGTGCTGCAGGAATAAAAATATATAAATAAAGTGAAATCTGAGAAGAAGGGGTCCACACACAAGCAAATGGACCGTTTTAGAATAAAAAAACCCTCCTACTGATTTAGCCAAAGCCATAATGGCGAAAGTGCGTTTCTCCACTCGATAAAAGAGACAGTATATCATCATATATCAAAATAACCCAGAGTGTGAGGAGATGCAAATGCTCTCGACATTATGAATCATTGGTTTATCTGCACTATTTCACACGTCAGATGTGGGGAGATATGTTCCAAACAGACACAGTTTGAGAAGAAACATAATGCATGTGATCAGTGTAGCAGGATCCAGAAGACTTTGGGTCATTTCGCCATCTCCCGCAGGAAAACACATTACCCCCTCTCATATTTACATACTCTTTAGTATTTGTCAAACATTCATAAATTACAAACTAATGAAATGTTCGACGGTCCTTGGAGATGGAGCTAATGAAGACATAGACTTTTCCTTGCTTTCTGACACATCTTTGTCAGGTTTAATACCATTCGCTCCATCACGCTCTATTAACTATTATTATACTTATGTCAGGCCACCGCTGACACGTTACGACACCGGGATCACCTGCAGGAGGTGGGCACGCCATGGGATATAAATGGCCTCCATCCATAATGCCAGTAGCCTGTATAAAAGTATTACTTTAACTGAGATTAATATATATACGAAAGTGAATTTTAGAGGAGCACACTGCACAAAAAAATCTCTTCAGAATATCTTAAATATTTAAAAAATGTAAAATAAATACTTGTTTTACGCATTTACCAGTGCCTCAAAAATGT